GTTGTCGTAGTCGTAGTCGTAGTCGCAGTCCTGGCCATAGTCGTAGTAGTGGTAGTAACAGTTTCAGCAGCATCCGTAGTATTAGTCGTATTTCTCTTAGTAGTAGTGGCATTCTTAGAGTTGTTATTATTATTAGTAGTAGTAGTAGTAGTAGTAGTATCAGTAGTAGTAGTAGTAGTAGTAGTAGCTGTAGCAGTAGTGGTCGTAGTAGTCGTAGTGGTCGGTGTAGTCGTAGTCGTAGTCGTAGTAGCAGTAGTAGTAGTAGTCGTAGTAGTAGTAGTAGTAGTAGTAGTAGTGGTAGTAGCAGTAGTAGTAGTAGTAGTAGTGGCAGTAGCTGTAGTATTCGTGTTAGTAGTAGTAGTAGTAGTAGTAGTAGTAGTAGTAGTAGTGGTAGTAGCAGAAGTAGTGGTAGTAGTAGTACTAGTAGTAGTCGTAGTATTGGTTGAAGTAGTACCAGTAGTAGCAGTGGCAGTAGTAGCAGTAGTAGTAGTAGTAGTAGTAGTAGTAGTCGTTGTAGCCGTGGTTGTCGTAGTCGTAGTAGTACTAGTAAAAGTAGCAGCCGTAATCGTAGTAGTAGTTTTAGTGGTAGCAGTAGTCGCAGCAGTAGTAACGGCAATAGATGTAGTAGTAGCCGTCGTCGTAGTAGTAGTAGTAGTAGTAGCAGTAGTAGTAGTAGTAGTAGCACTAGTAGTAGTAGTAGTAGTAGTAGTACTCGTAGTCGTAGTAGTAGTAGTAGTAGTAGTAGTGGTAGTAGTAGTAGTAGTAGTAGTAGTAGCAGTAGCAGTGGTAGTAGTAGTAGTCGTGGCAGTAGTAGTAGTAGTAGTAGTAGTAGCAGTAGTCGTAGTAGTAGTGTACGCGTAGGAGTAGTAGTGTCAGCAGCGGGGGCCGTAGTAGTTGTAGTAGTAGTAGTAGTAGTAGCAGTAGTAGTAGTAGTAGTACTAGTAGTAGTCGTAGTAGTTTCAGTAGTCGTAGTAGTCGTAGTATCAGTAGTAGTAACAGCAGCAGTAGTAGCAGTAGTAGTAGTAGTAGTAATAGTAGTAGTAGTAGTGGTAGTAGTAGTAGTAGTAGTAGTAGTAGTAGTAGTAGTTAGTAGTGTAGTATCAGTAGTAGTAGGCGTCGTAGTAGGAGGAGGATGAGGAGGAAGGGGATGAGGACTTGAGAAGGAGCACCAGCCGCAGCAGCAAGAGCAGTTAGTAGTAGTAGTAGTAGTAGGGAGTAGTAGCTTAGTTTGTAGAGTAGTATTAGTAGTAGTATAGTAGTAGTTAGTAATAGTAGTAGTAGTAGCGGTGGAAGTAGTAAGTAGTTAGACGTTAGTATAGTAGTAGACTGCACAAGTAGTAGTTTTTTTAAAAAACTAGTAGTAGTAGTAGAGTAGAGAAGTAGTAGTAGTACTAGAGTAGTAGTAGATGAGTAGTAGATGTAGTAGTAGTAGTCGTAGGAGTCGTCGTAGTAGTAGTAGTAGAGTCGTATAGTAGTAGTAGTCAGTAGTAGTAGTAACAGTAGTAGTAGCAGCAGTAGTAGTAGATGTAGTAGTAGTAGATGTAGTAGTAGTAGTAGCAGTAGTAGTAGAAGTAGTAGTAGTAGTAGTAGTCGTCCCAGTAGTAGTAGTAGTAGTAGTAGTAGTAGTAGTAGTAGTAGTAGTAGTAGGTGTAGTAGATGTAGTAGATGTAGTAGATGTAGTAGTCGTAGTATTTGTCGTAGTCGTAGAAGTCGTCATCGTAGAAGTAGCAGTAGTAGTAGTAGCAGTAGCAGTCGTAGTAGTAGTCGTCGTCGTCGTCGTCGGAGTAGTGGTAATAGTTGGAGTAGTCGTAGTCCAAGTCGTAGTGGTAGTCGTAGCAGTAGTAGTAGTAGTAGTAGTAATAATAATAGTAGCCGCCGTTGCCGCAGTAGCAGTAACATCGTAGGAGTAGTAGTAGCAGCAGTAGTAGTAGTAGTAGTAGTAGTAGTAGCAGTAGTAGTAGCAGCCGTAGTAGTAGTAGTAGTAGTAGTAGTAGTAGTCGTCGTCGTAGTAGTAGTAGTCGTAGTAGTAGTAGTAGTAGTAGTAGTAGTAGCAGTAGCAGCAGCAGTAGTAGTAGTAGTAGTAGTAATAGTAGTAGTAGTAGTAGTAGTAGTAGCCGTAGTAGCAGGAGCAGTGGTAGTAGTAGTAGTAGTAGTAGCAGTAGTCGCAGCCGCAGGAGTCGTAGTAGAAGTAGTAGTAGTAGTAGTCGTAGTGGCAGTAGTCGTAGTAGGAGTATCAGTAGTAGTAGCAGGAGGTGGAGGGCGCAGTAGTAGCAGTGGTAGTAGTAATAGTAGTAGCACTAGTAGTATTAGCAGGGGCACCAGTAGTATTAGTAGTAGTAGTAGTAGTAGTAGTAGTAGTAGTTGTTGTAGTCGTAGTAGTAGTAGTAGCAGTAGTAGTAGTAGTAGTCGTAGAAGGAGACGAAGTAGAAGTAGTAGCAGTAGTGGTAGTCGCAGAATCGTCGTCGTCGTAGTATTAATAGTAGTAGGGGTAGTAGTAGTAGTAGTCGTAGTAGTAGTAGTAGTAGTAGTAGTAGTAGTAGGAGGAGTCGTAGGAGGAGTCGTAGTAGTAGTAGTAGTAGTAGCAGTAGGAGGAGGAGGAGGAGTAGGAGTCGTAGTAGTGGTGGTGGTAGTAGTAGTAGTCGTCTTCGTCGTAGTACTAGTAGTAGTAGGGGTGGCAGTAGTAGTAGCAGTAGTAGTAGTAGTCGTAGTAGTAGCTGTAGTAGTAGTAGTACCAGTAATAGTAGTAGTCGTAGTAGTAGCAGTAGTAGTAGTAGTAGTAGTCGTAGTCGTCAGAGTAGCGTAGAGTAGTAGTAGTAAGTAGACGTAGTAGTAGTAGTAGTAGTAGTAGTAGTAGTAGTAGTAGTAGTAGTAGTATAGTAGCAGTAGTAGAGTAGTAGTAGTCGGAGTAGTTTGTGTGGCATAGTTAGTGTCGTAGTCGTAGTAGTGTTAGTAGTAGTAGTAGGAGTTAGTAGTAGCAGTAGTTAGTAGTAGTAGTAGTAGTAGTAGTAGAAGTAGTAGTAGTAGTAGTAGTAGTAGTAGTAGTAGTAGTAGTAGTAGTAGTAGTAGTAGTAGTAGTCGTAGCAGTAGTAGTAGTAATAGTAGTAGTAGTCGTAGTAGGATTAGTAGAGGTAGTCGTAGTAGTAGCAGTAGCAGTAGTAGTAGTAGTAGTAGAAGAAGTAGGAGAAGTAGTAGTAGTAGTAGTAGTAGTAGTAGTAGTAGTAGTAGTCGTCAGACCAGTGGTAATGTAGTAGTAGTAGTAGTAGTCGTCGTCGTAGCTGTACGAGCAGGAGTAGTATGCGTAGTAGTAGCAGTCGTACTAGTAGGAGTAGTAACAGCAGCAGCAGTAGACGTTGCAGCACCAGCAGCGGCGGAGGTAGTAGAAGTAGTAGTAGTAGTAGTCGTAGTCGTAGTAGTAGTAGTAGTAGTAGTAGTAGTAGTAGTAGTAGTAGTAGTAGTAGTAGTAGTAGTAGTAGACGAGCTGTGCAGTAGTAACAGCAGTTGCATAGAGTAGTAGTAGTTAGCAGTAGGTAGTAGTTAGTTAGTTGTAGTAGTAGTTAGTGGTGGTAGTAGTAGTAGTAGTAGTAGTAGTAGATGTAGGTCTATAGTAGTTAGTATTAGTAGTAGTTAGTAGTAGTAGTAGTAGTCGTAGTAGTAGTTCAGTAGTAGCTGTAGTAGGAGTAGTAGTGTAGTAGTAGTAAGTTAGTATTATAGTTAGTATAGTAAGTACTAGTAGTAGTCTTAGTATTACTGGTAGTCGTGTCGTCGGCGTCGTAGTCGTAGTAGTAGGAGTAGTAGTAGCATCGGTAGTCGTAGTAGTAGTAGTAGTAGTAGTAGTAGTAGTAGTAGTAGTAGCAGTAGCAGCAGTAGTAGTAGTAGTAGTAGTAGTAGTAGTAGTAGTAGTAGTAGTAGTAGTAGTAAGAATAGCAGTAGCAGTGGTAGTAGTGGTAGTCGTAGTAGTAGTAGTAGTAGTAGTAGTAGTAGTAGTAGTAGTCGTAGTAGTAGTCGTAGTCGTGGTCGTGGTCGTGGTCGTAGTAGTAGTAGCAGTAGGAGTAGTAGTAGCAGTAGTAGTAGTAGTAGTAGTAGTAGTACTAGTACTAGTACTAGTACTAGTACCAGTACCAGCACCAGCACTAGCACTAGCACTAGCACTAGCACTAGTAATAGTAGTCGTCGTCGTAGTAGTCGTGATAGTCGCAGTACTAGTAATAAGAGTAGTAGTGGCCGTAGTAGTAGCAGTAGTAGTAGTCGTCGTCGTCGTCGTAGTAGTAGTAGTAGCAGTCGTAGTAGTAGGTGTAGTTGTAGTTGCAGTAGTAGTAGTAGTAGTAGTAGTAGTAGTAGTAGTAGTAGTAGTAGTAGTAGTCGTAGTCGTAGTCGTAGTCGTAGTCGTAGTCGTAGTCGTAGTCGTAGTCGTAGTTGTAGTTGTAGTCGTAGTCGTAGTCGTAGTCGTAGTCGTAGTGTAGTCATAGTCGTAGTGTAGTCGTAGTCGTAGTCGTAGTCGTAGTCGTAGTGTAGTCGTAGTTCGTAGTCGTAGTTCGTGTCGTAGTGGTAGTCGTAGTAGTAGTAGTAGTAGTAGTAGTAGTAGTAGTAGTAGTAGTAAGTTAGTAGTAGTAGTAGTAGTAGTAGTAGTAGTATTAGTAGTAGTAGATAGAGTAAGAGGTGGTAGGGTGGTGGAGTAGTTAGTAGTAGTAGTGTAGAGGAGGAGGAGGAGGGAGTAGGAGGAGGAGGGGGAGGAGGAGGAGGAGGAGGCGCTTGTCTCGGCGATTCCCATAGGCAAGAGCTCTCCGGCAAGATCCGCCGCAGGAGGAAAGCGTCGCTGCCAGGCGCCGGCGGCTACGCCAGCGGGGCGCCTCCGGCCCGGGCGCCGAGCCCCCGGCGCGACGTGGCCGCGGGCCGCCCGCGCGTGCCCCTGGCGCGGGCGCCGAGCCCGCTGCGCTGCGGCGGCATGGCGGTGGTAGGATCGTAGGTCAGAGGGGGAGGGCGCGGTGAAGGGGTAGATGGGGGAGGGCGGTGCGGCGTGGAGGATGGGGGGGGATGGCGGGGATGGGGGGGGCGAGCGTCCCGAAAGTATGGGGGAGGGGAGGGGCGGTGGGATGGGGCAGGAGAGATGGGGTAGGGGGAGGGTGCGGGGGCTGGGGGGAGGGGGGCGGGGGAGCGGGCGGTGGAGGGGGCAGATGGGGATGGGGGAGGGGCAGGCGGTGTAGGGTTGCGGGAGGGGGGGGAGGGAGAGGGAAGGGGGAAGGGGACCAGGGATGAGAAGGGCCTCGTCCTTAGGGGATGGCCTCTTCCTGGCCCTCCTTCACCGGCTCCTCATGCTCCTTCTGCTCCCCGCTGCTCCTCCTCTTCCTCCTCCTCCTCCCTCTTCCTCCTCCTTCTCCTCCCCCCCCTCCTCCCCCCTCCTCCCCCCTCCTCCTTCTAGCGTAGTGTCCACCCCAGCCCGCAGAATGCCTGCTCACAACTGCGTGCAGCCTCTCTTGCTTTTCATGAGTGCTGCACGGCGTGCGTTACTCGTAACCTCGTCTAGTAGGTATGCGATCGTGCGAGGTCGGAGTTGTGCACTAGTGTATCACACCAAGTGTAAAGGTTCAGGTCACCCCATACGCGCAAGCCCGAGTTATGTCCTGTCCTACCCAATGTTTTTGATTTATCCAGTCCAATTATACCTTACATTATCCTATAATTTAAATATTCAAATTCATCACCAGTTTTCCTATATGTATATATATATATATATATATATATATATATATATATATATATATATATTATTAAGTGTGTGTATGTACCCAGTCGTATCCTATCAGGTCCCACCCTTTCACGCCGATCCATTTCGATCCTATGCAGTTCTATCCTTGCATATCCGATCCCTATCTATCAAGGCCAATCCCATCCTATCATATCTCATCCATTTCAATCCAACCCTATCAACATCCGATCGCGTCATACCTATCCTACCCAATCCTATGCTATCCAATCCTCTCCTATCTAGTCCTAGACCGCCGCCGTCCTCCCTCCTCCGTCTTTCCCCTTTTCCTTCTCCTTCTCCTCTCTCAGGGTGACACGGGGGGGGGGGGGGAGCGGCGCGGCAGATCTCACCCCGTTCGGCGCGCCCGCCGTGTGACCTACATAGGCTGGCCGACGCTGGGCGGGTGGCGCAGCGCCTTCGCACGCCCTGTGTGTTTTTTTTGTTGGTCGGCTACCTGCCTCCCTCCTCCCTCCTGCTCCTCCTCCCTCCTCCATCCTCCATCCTCCTGCCTCCTTCTGCCTCGTCCTGCCTCCTCCTGCCTCCTCCTCCTCTGCCTCTCCTTCGCCTCCTCCTTCCTCCTCCTCCCCCTCCCCTCCCTATCATTTTCCTACCCTCCTTCTCCTCCTTACTCTTCCTCTCCCTCCTCCTCCTCCTTCCCAGCCTCCCTTCCTCCTCCCTCATTCTCCGCCTCTTCTTCCGCCTTCCCTCCTCCCATCCTCCTCCTCCTCCTCCTCCTCCTCCTCCTCTCCTCTCGTACTCCTTCCTCCTCCTCCTCCTTCTCCTCCTCTTCCTCCTCCTCCTCCTTTTCCTCCTCCTCCTCCTCCTCCTCCTCCTTCTCCCCCTCACTTGGTTACGCACGGCTATGACAGCCGTCCCTTCGCCCCACTACATGAGAGTGCAGCCGATGTCCACGCACTGGACGCGGTGCCGCCCTTCCCGCTGTGCTGCGGGCCCTTCTCACAGGCACTGGCCCACGCATGGAGGTCATGATGTATGGCGCCCAGCCTTTTGGCACTGCCGGATCTTCCCACACGCTTGCCACTGTTGGTCCAAATGCGATGGACAAAAAGCAGAACATGCAATCGTTCATGGCATCTGCCACCGCGTGATGATCATCCTCCGACCCAGGAGTGGCGATGGCCTGACGGACCTCATCGACCTGCCGTAGACGGTGCCGTTCTCGGTGATCACTCTGCAGTATTCCAACGTACCCGCCTGCTTCATGGGGTCCTTCAGGACGCGCCTCGTAGGAGAGGTTCCCAACGTGGACCAGGTTCTCGCCGTACACCTTGCTGTCTCGGCCAGAGCCCTTGCCGACTCCGCCCGCGTATGCGGCACCACTGCCCGCTGTCACTGCTGGTCCCTCTCGCTACTGCTGGCCCACGCATGTAGTTGATGATGCCTAGTATCCAGCTCCCTCACTGCCGCCGAACCACTGCTGGTTCGTATCGCACGCGTAGGTAGCTGATGACGTCTGGTCCCCAGTCTCCCCTCTGCCTGCAGTCACTGCCGGCTCCTCTCCTGCCCCGCATGCCCACTCGTCCTCCACGTCCTCCTCGTCGCTGACGGACATGTCTTTCTCCTCCGCCTCTTTCGTCTGCTGCGCCTTTGTCATCTCGGTGATGAGCAGCTGTACTATATCTCGGTGGCCTCGTCTGGCTGCGAGTCGGCATACACTCACCAGAAATCGGTCAAGGTCTTCTGGAGCCAGTAGATCACGCCAGACTGATGAGCAGCCAGTAGGCCACGCCAGCGGCGTCACCGTTTACGACCGTATGCTGTAGGGCGCCCGCGTCCAGCTCGTAACGGTGCGCTGTGGGCCGTCCAACGTCGTAGTTGATGACGTCAAGCTCATGCTTCGCTTTACCTCCGTCCTCGTATCTGGCGATATCGGGCTCGTGCTTTGCAGCACCACTCACGTAGCTGATGGCATCGGGCTCATGCTTGGCGATTCTACGTAGTAGCTGGTGGCGTCTGGCTCGTGCTTCGCGACTCAACCCTCCGCCATTGGGCGTTCACCATCGTGGCTGATGTACTCGGCCTCGCACTTCGCTATACCACCCTCGTAGCTGATGGCATCGGGCTCGTGCGTCGCGACACGGCCCTCGGCCTCGTAGTTGATGGTATCGGGGTCTAAATTCACTGATTATATCATCCTCGTATCTGATGGCATCAGGGTGCTGCGCGACACCTGGGCTCGTGCTTGGTGCTGGGCATCAACTTTGTCGTAGCTGATGGCGTCTGGTTCGCGCCGCAAGCTTCCCTGCATGCCCTGCCACTGCTCCCACTGTTTACCATTGTCGTCTCCCGCGCCTCTCTCACATCCACCCTGGTCCCCGCTCGGTGGCAGGGAGCGTAGGGCGGGCCTGGCTGGGCTCCACCTCCTTCCGCCACCACCTTTTTTCGCATGCCGGGCAGCGGCGCTGTAGGCAGCCACTGCCTCTGCCTTCTCTCACATCCACCCTGGTCCCCTCCTCGCGGTGGGGGTCGTGGGGCGGGCCTGGCTTGGCGTCAAGTCCTTCCGCCACTGCCGCCCCTATTTTAGCGCACCGCTGCGGTCCTGTAGCTGATGCCGTGCGCACTGCTGCCAATGCCCCAGCAGCTGCCGCTGCGGTGACCACTTCTCGCACGCTGTGGTTTTGGCATGTATCTTCGCATATGTTTTGTGACCAGCACTGCCCCCAGAGCTGGTCCTTCGTGATCATGATGCTGTATTACCTCATGCGGCCATCCTTGATGGCCCCAGCACTTCCTCCGTTCTTGCAGCTCCGCCTGCGGTCTGCCTGTGCGCTGCTGTTGCTCCTGCAGCTTAAGGTCTGGGGCCCGATGGGTCGCCTTCCGTTTGGCCCTGCGGGACTCGCGGGACCATAGGAAACCGGTGTTTGTATCGTTGTTCGGTTGCGCACGCAATGAGAGCGCACATTTCTGAGACCGCAGGGAGGGGGAGGAGGAGGAGGAGGAGAAGGAGGAGGAAGGTGAGGGGGAGGAGGAGGAGGAGGAGGAGGAGGAGGAGGAGGTGGAAATGAAGGAGGAATAACAATACTTTTCATATTCGTAACACAATAATACTACGAATAATAATGGCAATAAGACGAAGACGAAGAAGGCACATACGCCAGCGTCTTATTATAGTCTGGATGCGAATTACGCTACTCGTACGAGTGAGAATACTAAACAGACGATGCATGATAATACGCACACTACCAAGAATAGTGTCACTACTAAGATGAGCAACACACCACAGATGCATGAATATTTCGGATAAAACTCATATGAATACGGAGAAGGATAATACTACAAACGCTATGATTAATAATACTCATAACAATAACCATAATCGTAATATTAAGACTAATACGAATGAGAAGAAGAGGAGGAGGAGAAGGAGGATGAGGAGGAGGAGGAGGCGGCGGAGTAGGAGGAGGAGGGGAGGGGGAGGGCTTGGAGGAGGGGAAGGGGTAGGGGAACGGGGGGGGGTGAGGGGGAGGTGGAGTGGGGAGGAGGAGGGGGAGGAGGAGGAGGAGGAGGAGGAGGAGGAGGAGGACAAGGACGAGGACGAGGACGAGGACGAGGAGGACGAGCAGGAGGAGGCGGAGGAGGAGGAGGAGGAGGAGGCGGGGCCCGTTGTGGCAACCACTGGCGACAACGGCCGTTACAGGCGGGGTGATGGGGGTGCGAGGGGGCTGGTAACGTCCAGATTCGTGCTGCCGCCGTCTGGCAATTAGCTACCCCTGTCGCACTTCCCGAAGGGGCTCCGTCGCGAACCGCGACGTTACCAGGGGGGCGGGGAGGAGTATCCCCGTTGACGGCAGTGATCGCGAACCGTATACAAAAAAACGCTCCAGAAGGAGCAGCCTGTTTCTCCTTCAGTTCCCCTCTTCCTCCCCTTGCTGGCCCCCGCCTACTGCTGCTGATCCTCTCTACCTTTCCTCCTCGTCCTCCGCTCCCCGCTTTTCCCCCTTCACCCTCTCCTCTTCCAGGATTCCTCTCCCTTCCTCTCCCGTGTGCTGGATTCGAGGATGATCATTCGCTGTGCATGTGTCTACTCCTGGCTGCCACAGGCAAGTGGCAGTCATGCTGCATGGGACTGTTCTTGCCACCTCCAGTCTTCTGAGTTCTGTCGCGGATCAAAATCATCTTTCCTTCTCACAACCTCTTGGAGCCAGAAGTATTGATGTAGAAAGGGAGTATCGTCTAGTCAATTGCCGAGGGAGCCTTGTTTTTGTT